AGTCATGCATGACATTTTTCAACAAAAGTTTCCACTGACATTAGGGCTCCATGGCTGTACTTGATCAAAGTCTCTGGGTCCTGGCTCCAGAGCACATCCTTGACCAAGTGAGCTATGTTAAGCCCCTTCACACAACACACAAAGCACATCAAGGTAAAAAGGACCCTGTACACTCTTTGTAGTTGATTGCAAGATGGACCCCAACTGTACATCCCTCCCTGAAACAGGCCCTTTGCAATGTGACTTTGCAACTCTTCCTGTGGAATGGTGGAATGTTTCCCCAGCTCTGGAATCTAAGTTGACTTTTTGACTCACTTTGACCAATGAAAGGCAGCAGAAGGGGCCAGTGATGAGCCCAGGTCTCTAGACACCTTGCATGCTGCCTCTTGTTCTGCTGGGACCCTGGAAGCTACCGTGAGAACAAGCCTGGGGGAGCCTGAGATGGTGAGAGACCTGTGGCTCTATAATTCATGTTCCTCAGGTAGTAGCCAGTGGACCCTCAAGCTGACTACAGATGCAGGAATAAGCCAGGTGCTGTGGGCTGTACCATGTACCCCCAAATTCCTGTGTTGAAATCCTTACCACTGGTGCCTCACAGTGTAACTGCATTTGAAATAGAGTCTTTACAAGGGGTAATTAAGTTAAAATGAGGTCTTTAAGGTGGGCTCTGATCCAATATGACTGGTGTCCTTATAAGAGAAGGAAATTTGGACACAGACATGCATACACACAGAGGGAAGGCCATGTGAAGACACAGGAGAAGACAGCCGACTGTAAGCCAAATCAACCCTGCGGATCCCTTGATGTCAGATAAAATAAATTTCTGTTGCTCAAGCCCTGCAGTCTATGCTGCTTTGCTATGGCAGCCCTAGAAAACTCATACACTAGATGGGACCAGAAGAACCGCTCACTGAGCTCCAGCCCAACCTGTGAAACCATGACATGATGAGCTAAGTAGCTGGTGGTGTTTTAAGCCACTAAGTTTTGGGGGTGGTTTTTTACATAGTCAACTGCTAAATTTTTGAAAGGCTTTGAACCATTGTTCAGCATTATGTGGAAAAGAGAATAAGGTAAATTCCTAATTAAATATGCCTTCTTTCCCTCCCTACATATACATATGCCTTATATAGTACACCACCTTCCCCACAATTGTGTGTCTAGAAACCTGTCCTCTAGGATTCACGATGGAAATCCTAACATTTCCACGTAGGAGCACCTTGAATTTCAGGTGCACTGAAGCGCCACACACGCAGGCCCCACGATGCACACATATCACCCCCTCTGCTGCGAGACACACGACTCTCCCTAACATTGTTAAGCATTGTAATTGCCATTCCTAGGTCCATCATCTGATGGTTTTCTTCATTTCAGGAGGTAACACAACAGGACTTTTGGAGTTGAAGTTGGAGTTCCGTTCCATTCTCCTGGCTCCTGTCCTCACACGCCTTCAGCCCAGCCCAGGCAGTCATAGTGCTTCTTTCTTCTGTTCTTTCTTTTACTCTAATGGGAACCAGGGGCTGTGTGGTGCGCTGCTCAGGAAAATTTACATTGGCCGCCTTCTGGAAGCACTGAGTTTTCCCGAATGGACTGGCTATCGCCTGGAGAGAGGAAAATATATTCCGGTTGCTTGGTTGAGCATAATATTCTCTGAATCCTGGGCATACGTGCCTTTAGCAGCCAGTGTGGTGGCTTCTCTTGCCAGTGCCTCTCTCTGAAACCCTAAGGAGCCCCATGTTCCTTTCCTCCAATGCTGCCACTGCTGCTCCTGGTTCTCAGCTTACGGGACTCACCTGACTCCCAAAATGCCAGATACTACAGCGTCTGCCCCAAATGCTGACTGCTAAATATTCTCTGAATCCTGGGCATACGTGCCTTTAGCAGCCAGTGTGGTGGCTTCTCTTGCCAATGCCTCTCTCTGAAACCCTAAGGATCCCCATGTTCCTTTCCTCCAATGCTGCCACTGCTGCTCCTGGTTCTCAGCTTACGGAACTCACCTGACTCCCAAAATGCCAGATACTACAGCGTCTGCCCCAAATGCTGACTGCTCACCCCCCACCCTGCACCCCAGCTTCCAGTCCCTGCTAAAGAGACAGAGTGGGGTAGAGTCACATAGGAATCTCTGCAACTTTATTAAGTCTGATGAAAACCACTGCTCACACCTTACTTGTCCTGGACACAAAAGAGCAGGAGATTTTTGGCAGGAGGAACTGGGCAGAAATGGCAGACAGGATGCAGGAGACATTGTAGGCCACTGTGCTGCATCCATGGCCTCAGGAGGGGCCAGCACGGGCAGCTTACTCATTATTCCCTGGGCCTGAGACCTCTCTCTCCCCCCAGCATATGCCTGGCTTCAGATCTCACCTGGGATAATGTGAGAAAAGAGAATGAAGTCCAGTAGCAAAAGAGAGAGACTCCTGTTGGTGAACAGTGGATGGCTTGTGGGCATAGTAGAAGGAAGGGAAGGTGAGACCCATCGAAGCTTGCTGGAGGGGTCTCTGTTTAACTGCTCCTGTGGGCACTTGCACAATGGGTAGCTTGATCTGGAAGCAGTGGCTGATACAATACTAATATAAAGAATGATTGACATCTGTGCATGAAATGCTTCCCAGCTGAGCAGCTCCATTGATACCCCTCTGCCAACGTGTCAGCCACATCGTTTAGGTGGGAACGGCCTCGTATCCACACAGATTGCTCAGGAACGGACACTTAACCTAGGCCCTGACGGATTAGATAAGCCATTCCCTTTGCCAAAGTGATGACCAGGGGTGGGGTGGGGAGGCTTTACTGACATGAAACTCAGCATGTTTGTGCAACTACTGGAGGAAGAAAAGCCTTTTTCTCTGCAACGGTATAAAAAATAAGGTTGCCCCAGGATTTTAGCAGCCACCTTCGTATGGCAAAGAAATGGGTCTGAGAATAAACCAGTCACTGGTGAAAATTTACTGGATGCTTGGTGACATTGTGTCTATACTTGGCCCAAAGTACCCCAAAGCCAGGCCTTATTCTGGATCCTTCACAGAGCTGCTCTGACCGTTCGTCCAGAGTTTCTGGAGCTGAGTTTCTAGTTACCTGCATTTGCGAACGTGCCAGCTGGCAAGGTGTGAGGTGTGGGCTCCAGGCTGGAGGAACTGGCCCTTTGAGTGGTGCTGCCTCGCTGTGGAGCTGCCCAGTCATGACGGTCTGGGCAGGGCTGGTAGTGGGCCCTGAGGGCAGAGCTATGCTTGTGTACTTTCTTGTCAGCTAAAGCAATACTTTAGTATTTGAAAAGGGGAGTGGGAGGAGTTCTAGATTCCCTTTAGCAATCTCGAGAATCCTGGAACTGTTTGGGAAGGTATTCTCAGCCATATCCAAGTATTTGATGGCAGTTGTCATGCACACTTTGTGAAACTCTTCTGTTTTTCAAAACTGAAGCATCTGCAAGTTTATAATGTGTAAGTTATGCAACAGCAGTCACTAGAAGAACAAGTGCATACTTCCGTTGTTATTATTTGCTCTGAGATGAACAAGACAGAACTCTTCTGAAGTAGGATGTCAGGTCACTTCTTTCAGGATTAATTTCCTGAATCTGCTGTAACAGATTACCACAAACTGGGTGGCATAAAGCAACAGAAAGTTATTCTCTCGGAGTTCAGAATCTGGAATCAGTTTCCCTGGCTGAAATGAAAACATTGGCAGGGTCACCATGCTCCCTCTGGAGCTCTAGGATTGAGTCTGTTCCTGGCCTTTTCCAGCTTCTGGTGGCTGCTGACACTCCTTGGCTCATGGGCACGTCACTCCTGTCTCTCTTGCCTCCTCTTCCACAAGTGTCTAATCGCCCTCTGCCTCTTTTTTGTAACACATAATGGCCTTCAGAGCCCACTGGATAATCCGGTATGATCTTCCCATCTCAAAAACCTCAAAATAACTTCACCACATTTTCCAGATTTTAGGCCTGGTATCTTGGGGGGCTGTGATTCTGCCTACTACGAGAGGCTTTTGGATATAGCCATTTTCTTCCCAAAGGACCCACAGAAGCAAGGTTCAAGCTTGGTGGTCACCTGCTGTGCATTCTCCCCAGGTGGGGCAGCAAGTTGTGCACCCCAAGACCAGCATCTGCTTCCAGAGCAGCCTCTAGAGCTGGCCCTGCCTGTCCAGGATGAGAAGCTGGGAGCCAGGCATGACCAACGAGAATATCAAACCCATATCAGGGACGTGGTGGCCTGTAGCTTGTTGACCTGGGGAAGGATCAGGGAAGCTCAAATGGGAGGCTCACCCCTGGGTTTGAATGCTCTGATTCTCTTTGGACTCCCGCCTCAGGGAGAGCACATTTCTCAGCATTGCCACGGGCAGCGGGCTGGCAGAGAAGGTTGTGTTTAATGTCTGATGTGATATCTGATCTGGCAGCCAGCTTTTCCAAATAGCCACCAGAATTTCACATTCCTTGTTTACTTATTGTGTCCAAAGAGCTGGTGAAAGGTGAGCTTTCTATCAAAGTGCTTTCATCATTAAAACATCCTGCTTTTCCAAATAGCCACCAGAATTTCACATTCCTTGTTTACTTATTGTGTCCAAAGAGCTGGAGAAAGGTGAGCTTTCTATCAAAGTGCTTTCATCATTAAAACATCCTTGATAATGCCAGGAACTGTCTATTTTTCCTTTTCCTTTACCGTGTGTGAATGAAAGTTCTGTTTTTTGGTGGATGATTATTGTAGTCCTAGCTTTAAACTTTTAAATGAAAAGTGATCTCAACTCTAGGCAAATAGGGGAAGATCATATTTTTAGGGAAAAACAAGAAGAGAGAGAAGCAACTGTGTTTTATGTTCTTTAGGATCGTGGCCTAAATGATAGGTTTCAGGTAACAAAGCTCTGCCACAGGATTCTGAGTGGAATGAGAGACATCTCTCTCTCTGGGGTTCTGGACCTAAGAACTCCACCACAGCACAAATGGGACACTTTTTACACTAAGAGGAGCAGCTCAGGTAAGGTCCCAGACACATATGTGTCAGCACGTTGGCAAGTCTCCACCTGGCTCAGGTGAGGTGTCTCAGCTCGTATCTGATGTGCAGTTGTCACATACACTACTGACTCTTCTGTTTTTCAAATCTGAAGCACCTGCAAGTCTGTAATTGTGTAAGTTATGTTAACAGCAGTCACTAGAATAATAAGTGCATGTTTCCTTTTTTCTTATTTGCTAAGGAATGAATGAAACAGAACACTTCTGCAGTGGGATGTGAAGTCACGTATTTCTGTGTTTACAGGCAGGATTAGTTTCCTGAGGCTGCTGTGACAAATTACCACAGTTACTTCCCCTGGGCAGTAGAGGTTCCTAGATATGGGGAAGCAGCTCTCCTGAACAGGTCCAAGTGTCTATGCAGGTGAGAGGAGTCCAGCCAGGTCTGAGCCTGGGCCCACAGCCCCTTTGGGGTCTGCTATAAACTTTTGTGGTAAGCACGTAGATTTCTTCCCTCTCCAGTAGCGCAGCACTTTCTATTTTCAGGGGCTAGATATATATATATATTTGATGCAGGACAAGTTCCCAGCCTGAAACACGTGTGCGCACGGGTTCAGGGCCCTTGACCCGCAGTCACAGCCCCCTCATTGGGCAAAGGCAGATGCTCATGAGGCTGTATGGCAGGGTGAGAAGAGGTGAATGGTGAGCACACTTCGTAACGTGTTTCTAGGGGAAAAAGGACTAGATTTAAGAAAAATCAGTTATTTTCTCTAGGAAAGGATATGGACATGGAGTTGATGAGTCTGGAGTGT